CCCCCCAGTGCCCAGCACAGGGGCACGGTCCCTGCCCTGCTCCTGCTGGCCACACCACTCCTGATACAAGCCAGGATGCCGCTGGCCCTCTTGGCCACCTGGGCACCCTGCTGGCTCATATTCAGCCGCCTGTTGACCAACCCCCCCAGCTCCTTTTCCGCCGGGCAGCTTTCCAGCCCCTCTGCCCCACGCCTGTAGCACTGCGTGGGGTTGTGGTGACTCCAGGGCAGGACCCGGCCCTTGGCCTTGTTGAACCTCACACAGTTGGCCTGGGCCCATGGATCCAGCCTGGCCAGGTCCCTCTGCAGAGCCCTCGTTCCTCTCGAGGAGATTGACACTTGTGCCCAATTTGATGTCATCTGCTTTGGACCGTGCTCTCGCTAATGTGCATTAAACCCCTTAAAAAATGCATCACTTTTAATCAGAAGTTTATAAAATCCCCTGTACCTTTCTGTGTGGCCCTGGCGAGCTTGGCTGGAAGTCCAGGGCCAGATAATCCACACTCCCCGAACTCTTTTTAGGCGCTGGGCTGTTGGTGCCACTAGGAACAGGAGAAGCAGAAATGGGGTTTTGCTAATGCAGGGAAGAGACAGGAGAGATAATGAGGGTTAAAACGGGAAGAAGGAAAAAAAAAGGAATTAACACAAATCTGGCGATGAAATGCCTCAGCGGCACCTTTTTAATAAAAGAGGTCTCAGCCTGGATATGTGCTCCCCTGCCTCTCTGAGACCAGGGTGTGCAGAACCGCTGGGGGACTATATATATTATATATTGTGCTAACAAATATTTCAAGCTCATGCTCTTGAGTTTATGCATCGGAGCAGTTCTGCTGCCTTTGTGCTGATTTTATTCGCATGCCTGACATCAGACGTGGGCTTCAGCCTTTCCCGGGAACCACACCTCGGCGGGGCCAGAACAGCTCTGGGATCTTCACTAATCACAACCGCGCTACGCGAAGCACAGATTTCCTTTACCCCCTTAGTTACACACCCTCAAAAATATGCTTCAAGTCAGCAGCTTTGCAAAGGGAGACAAAATCCCCTCCCTGTAAGCAGCACCACTCCCTGCTGCCGCTCCGATAGCCCCTGCCCTCCACACAAAGACGATGACAGCAGTTATGAGGGGAAAAAAAACCCACCCTGAAAAAAATCAACTTACATTAGCAAAATAGACTGCGACAGTCCATAGACGGTTTTATCCCCTCTTAATTCCT